TCACAGAAAGCTCCTACACCTCTCCAGTCCTTGCAGATGTGCAACCTCCGCTCTGTCACACACCACAGTGGGACATTTGTCACCATAGGTGCACCCATAGTGACATACCATGATCAGCCAAAGCCCACAGTTTACAGTGATGTTCATTCTTCCTGTTTTGTCATCCTGGGGGTTTTGACAAGTGCATGATGACATGTATCCCCACTTTTTTTCTTTCTTTTTTTTTTTTGAAGCAGGGTCATGCAATGAAGTCCAGGCCAACCCTGAACTCATCATGTAGCCCAGAGCTAGCCTTGAACTCACAGCAATCCTCCTGCTTCAGCCTCCCTCCCGAGAGCTGGGATCACAGGTGTGCACCACCACACCTGGCTACAGTTTATTAAAAAGGAGTTTCATAGAGCTGGGGATTTAGCTCAGTGGTTCCGCTGCCTGCCTCGAAAGCTCAAGGACCTGAGTTTGATCCCCGGTACCAAAAATAAAAAATAAAAAATAAATTAAAAAATTTTAAAAAAGAGTTTCATGAGGCCAGGGAATTAGCTCAGTGTTTCCGGCGCCTGCCTTGCAAGTGCAAGGTCCCAAGTTCGATCCCTCGTAACAAAAAAAAACAACAAAAAAAAGTTTCATGGGCTGGAGATTTAGCTCAGTCGTTTTGCCACCTGCCTCGAAAGCATAAGGTCCCAAGTTTGATCCCCGGTACAAAAAAAAAAATCAAAAAAGAGTTTCATTCCCTGATCGCCACCTATTTATCCCTCTCACCTCCTCATCCCTGACAACTGCTGAGCTTTCTACTGTCTCCACCATTTTTAGCCTTTTCCACAAGGTCATATCTTTGGAATCCCATAGTACATGGCCTTCTCAAATTGACTTCCTTCACTTGGTAACATGCATTTATGTTTCCTCTATGTCTTTCCTTTCCTTCCTTTCTTTCTTTTTTCTTTTTTCTTTTTTTTTTTTGGTACTGGGATTGAACTCAAGACCTTGCACTTGCGAGGCAGGCGTTGGTCTTTCTTTTTTGACAAGGTCTTGCCATGTAGCCTAGGCTAGCCTCGAACTTTCAGTGATCCTCCTGCCTCATCCCCTGAGTGCTGGGATTACAGGCATGCACCACCATGCCCAACTTCTATTTTTGTTTCAGTACTGAGGATTGAACCCAGGGAGTGAAGAGCTGCATTTTCAGCCCTTTTTAAAATTTTATTTTCAGACAGGGTCTACTGAGTTGCCCAGGCAGCCTCAAACTTGTAATCCTCCCACCTTAGCCTCCTGAATAGCTGGGATTACAGGTCTGCACCACCATGTCCGTCCTTTTCATGGGTTGATAGCATATTTCTTTGTGGTGCTGAATGATATTCCATTTTCTAGATGTACCACAGTTGATTTATATAGTCACCTTGTGAAGAACATCTCAGATGCTCCCAAATCTTAGCCAGTTATGAATAAAGCTGATTTTAATTCAAGTACAGGTTTTTATGTGTGTCAGGGCCAGAGGGACAACTGAAGGGCTAAGCTGAAGGTGAGATCCCCAGGGTAAAGAAAACAGGTGGAGCCGACCTCAGCTACAACACCAAAAGCAGCATCTTTATTCCTCAGCCCTTACATTGGCCATTATCAAGCAATATAGCAGCATGTCCTAGCAAGACCGTGTAGCACATGTGTGATTGCCTATGTTGAGTCATTCTTATGTAAGTGCTCCCCCATGCTGCACCTGCACTAAAAGGTGGGGGTCTTGTCCTCATAGGTCCTTAAATGCCTCAGACTTTGAAACACTCTGCAAAGGCTCCCTACAGTGTGCATATAAGTTTCAAACTCATTTGGGTTTTTTTGTTTGTTGTTTGTTTGTGTGTGTGAGACAGGTCTCCATATGTAGTTCAGGCTGGACCTGAACTCATCATGTAGCCCAGGCTGGTTTCGAACTTGTGGCATTGTGGCAGCCCTCCTGCCTAAGCCTCCAGTGCTAGGGTTACAGGCATGCACCCCACACCTGGCTCAACTCATTTGGGTTTAAATACCAAGTCATTCAAGGCCAGCCAGAACTACATAGTGGGACCCTGTCTCCCATCAATCAATCCATCGATAAAAGTAATAAATAACAAGCAGTAAAATTGCTAGATTTTACAGTAAGAGGATCTCCTACTTTTTGTGAATTTTTTTTTTTTTTGTACCAGGGATCAAACTCGGGTCCTTGCACTTGCGCAGCAGGTGATGAAACCACTGAGCTAAATCCCCTGCCAAGATCTCCTACTTTTTGAAAACACTGCTAAGCTGTCTTCCAAAGTGGATGTGCTGTTTTGCACTCCCACCAGCAATGAATGAGAGAGAGTTCTGGATTTTCCACATCCTTGCCAGTATAGGCGTTGTCATTGCTTGGGACTTTAGACTTTCTTGTAGGTATGCCGCGGCACCATGTTGCTTTACTTTGAATGATGTTGAGCTTTTCACTCACTTGTTTGCCATCTGTCTGTGGTGAGCTGTCTGTTCAGAATTTTTTGCCCATTTTCAGATCAGAGCATTCACGTAGATCTTTTGCAAATGTTTCTTCTGGTCTGTAGCTTTTCCTCTCCTTCTCTGGACAATCCCTAGACCTTCCTCAGAGGTCCAGGAAGGTGGTGCCCTTCCTGCCATAGTGGCTGAGGAGCTAGGAGGAGCTGGGAGCTGCTGGCAGAGTTCTTGCAATCACAGGAAGGAGGCTGAACGAGACAGAAAGGGGAGGGCTGGGTCTGGGGTGCAGACAGAGCAGTGGCCTAGCATGGCAAGGCCCTGGGTTCCACCCTCAGAAGAGGACGGCTTCCTGACAAGTAAAGCAGTAGGAGCTGGGAACTATACAAACGTGTGTGTGTCTGTGTGTCTGTGTGTCTGTGTGTACAGTACTGAGGATCCAACCCAGGTTAGCCCCCCTCCCTTTTAGAGACAGGGTTTGCCATGTAGTTCAGGTTGGCCTTGAACTCACTATGTAGCCCAGGTTGGCCTTGAACTGGGGGCAAATCTCCTGCTTCAGCCTCCCGAGTGCTGGGACTATAGACATGCTCTACCATGCCCAGTGAGAAATAATTTTAAAGCTTTAAAATGACACTTTTTCTTTTTAACCTATCAGATTGGCAAAATGAAAAAAATGCAACACTGTGTTGCTAGGAGATACAAGGAAAATGGCATTGTGGAATCAGATTGGACACAGGGAACAGAGACATGACAAACTGGGCCAGACTTGAGTTAGTTTATTTTTCTTCTCTTGTAACTAAAGGCTGGAGACCAGCCATCGAGGGCAGTATGGTGGGTCCATTTTCCTCAGGGACCTGGTTTCTCTATCTGCTTCACTGAGCACTCGCTTCTTAAGAGTCACATGACTCAAAATAGTGGCTGAGATGCCTTCCATCACATCTGCATCCCTGGCCTGGGAAGACCTGAGGGGAAGAGAAGGTGCACCCTCTCCGTTCTGGAAGCCACTATTCCTACTGACATCTCACTGGGCGGACATAATCATATTACTGTAGACAGCTAAGTTAATTAGGTGTATTATCAGCAGTTAGAGGGCCAAGCCCTTCAGGGAGTCAATGCAAAAGATAATTGAAGCCCATATACTAAGGGCCAGGATTCAAAAAAGAGGAACTACTACACTCACATACTTCCCCTAGGGATGAACAGCAGGTATCAATCACCTGGGTGGGGACCAAGACTTCAAACTATCCCTTCCTGGAAATCCTTGTTTGGTCCAGTTATGCTTGCTACGTGACTTGCTTCCCCATTGGATCCCCATTTAATCAATATTACCCAAGCAACTATGCTTGTAATCTTATTGGCTGACCATTTCTTTGTCCCACCTCATACCCACCTTGTGATTTCCCATTGGATCAATATTACCTATGGGACTATACTTGTAATATTATTAATTTGTCCCACCCTATACCCACCTCATCTCGTGGTTTTGCTCAATAAAACTCCCTTGAGAGGCAGAGGTCCCCCACCACCCACTGGACCCCTTCTGTCTCTCTTAGACAAAAGCTATCATTCTCTCAATAAATACTTCCTACTCTTAACCTCTGTTATTCCTAGAATTCATTTTTTTTTTAATTTTAGAGAATGGAAACTCGGCATATTGGACATCTAGCAGGTTGGGAGTTATATTTCTTATATTATTGGAGGTTCTATAGCATCCCTATGTGGTACACCCTATATCAATTTGATGCTAACCACATCTTTGTCAGTTTCTCTTTTCCACATAAGGGAATTGAGGCTGTAACAGAAAGAACCATATTAGGATTTTTTTCCATTTAAAAAAATTATCAATACATGTTTGCAGAGCATAATGATTACATTCATCATGGTGAGTGAGTACATGGGGACAAACATAATGCATCTTTTTTTTTTTTTAATGCATCTTAATTCTTTCTTCACCCCTATCCCCTCTCTCCTCTCTCCATCTCCTGGTCTCCTTCCTTTTTGCAGAAGATCTGTCTTAGGATTCTTTTTTTTTTTTGGTACCAGCGATTGAACTCTGGTCCTTGTGCTTGCAAGGCAGGCGGCGGAACCACTGAGCTAAATCCCTGGCCCCATGTCTTAGGATTCTTGACAGCAACTGACAGAAACCAAGATCAACTTGGCTTATGGAAAGGAGAGTCACAGGTGCACTCAACAGCAAGGGTACTGGTGGCACCAACTTCAGGTATGGCTGGATCCAGAGTCACCCACAGTGAAGTCAGGTCTCTCTCTGTCTCTTGGTCTGTTTCCTTTGCATCGGCTTCATTCCCACTTTGGGTTTTCACATCTGCTTCCTCACCCAGGCCCACAGTGTACATAGCCCTAAATCCATACTGAAAAGCCATTATGATAGGAAAATAGCACTTTTCTTCTAGTATTTCTAGAAAACACCCCAGAACCAACCCACATGGACTGTCTTGAGCCACCTGTCCAGCTTTGAGCCAATTCCCAGGGCCAGAGCTGACCTTTGTGGGGTGACCTGAGTCTCTTGTTTTTTCTTAGAACCAGGCAGGGGGAGGCAGCCTCATCCAAACTTCAAAGCTGGAAGAGGAATGGGGAAGTCCCCCAGGGCAGGGAACATGAAGGGCTACTTCTAGCAGGAGGAGGAGGAGTTGCTAGGTAGACTGAAGACAAACAGCTCTGGACACATTGTGTGTAGGGCAGGGCTACACTGGGGGCTGGGCTCTCCATGCTGCACCCCAGCTCTGTCTGTTGCCTAGCAACTCGAGTTGGCGCCACCACAAAGTGTAAACATGGACCAAAGGAGAAGCCCTTTGGAGAAGAAGACGCCAAAGGGAAAGGGAAAAGTTCAGAAGGGCAGAAAGCATTCAACTCTGCAACACTGTCATCATATTCCACTTATCAAAAAGTGAATCCTGAGGACTGAAATAATTTGCAGATGTGGTGGAGGAGCCGTTGCCAGCAACTCTGAGACCTGGGAAGAGGCTGGAGACTCCAGGCAGCCAAGGGAGAGGCTTCCTAAAGTCGATGCGAGAGCCTGGCAGGCTGACTGGTGGAATAGTGAGTCTCCCTCTTTCTCCTTCCTCCTCCTTCTCCTTTGTCCTTTCCTTTTTTCAAAATGGCAATTTTATTGCTGTATAATTTGTGTGACATAAAACTCACCCCATTTTAAGTGTACAATTTGATGATTCGTAGGCTGGTTTTGGGGGTGTTGTTTTGTTTTGGTGGCGCTGGGAATTGAACCCAGAACCTTCACGCTGAGCTACATCCCCAACTTTTCTTTGTTTTAAAGTTTGAGACACCCAGGCCAGTTGTAAATTTTCAGTATAATGAGGTTTTGGTTGCTGTTGTGGCTTGGCCCTGGCCATGAAGCTCAGGGCTTGGGCTCCCTGAGCTCCGCCCTAGGCCAGCCCCAGCTTCTCCTTCACCTTTCCTCCACCCAGGCAGCTGCTGACTGCGAATCCACTTTCTGTCTTGATAGATTTGCCTCCTGTAGAATTTCTCCCTCTTTTTGTTTTTTTGAGACAAGGTCTTGCTAGGTAGTTTAGACTGGCCTTGAACTCACTACATAACCCAGGCTGGCCTCCGGCTTGTGGCAATCCTCCTGCTTCAGCCTCCTGAGTGCTGGGATTACAGGATTGTGCCACCACAGCTCGTGTACAACTTGCTTTTTAAATTCACAAATGTGTTTGGGAACAGCTTCCTGCACCAGCTCGTACACCCGAGCCACACTGTGTCGGTGATTTCGTGGCCATGCTGTACGGCTGGGCCTTGTTTCACTTAGCAGCCTCCTGACAACGCTGTTCTTGACCATGGTCCTGCAGAGTACAGCCAAGGCTGCCACACCTCGTGCCTCACTCATTAGTGGGATGTGAGATAAGTTTGGTGGATTTTGATCAGTATTTTATTTATTTGTTTGTTTATGTGTTTTGCTCTGCTGCAAGTAAACCTAGGGCCTTTGCATTGAGCTACATCACCAACCCCTTTTTTTTCTTTTTGGAGACAAGATCTACTCAAGTCACTAAACTGCCCAAACTGCGCAGATCCTCCTGCCTCAGCCTCCTAGAGCGCTGGAATTACATACATCCTGCCAACACACTCAGGCCAATATTTTATTTATAAATGGACTAGACATGGTGAAAATGAAATAGGAGGTAATGGGATGGAATAGAAAATGTCAGAATACACTGAATGACCCATAATGAAATCAATACTTTATTTTAGTATATGTGTATATACTGGATCATAGTAATATATATAATATTTAAATATATAATATGCATATATTATATCATCCCCAGCACCAACTTCCCCCCAGAAAGGTAAAAACAATTATTAGCTCACTGGCCATCCAAAGAATAATAGTAAAAAAAATTTTTGATGCCGAGGATTTAGCTAAGTGGTTCTGGTGCCTGCCTTGCAAGCTCAAGGTCCTGAGTTCAATCCCCAGTAATTTTTTTTGTTCACCTTTTCTTTCTTTCTTTCTTTCTTTCTTTTTTTTCCAGTTTTTTTCTTTTCTTTCTTTCTATTTTATTTTATTTGGCTTTTTTATTTACACTGGAGATCAAACTTGGGGCTTAGCAATTATATATATGCATATTATATTATATCCATATATTATATGCATATTATATATATACATTTTTAAACTGTGGATCATTGTCCAACTTTTTTGGTTTGTTTCTGCAGTGCTAGGCTTGGGACCCAGGGCCTTACATGTGCTGGGCAAGCCCTCTACTCCCAATCTGCACCCTCTACCCTATCCAACCTTTTATATGGGTTCATAGCCTCTCATAAACCAAAAACTAAATTTTTCATACTTATTTTACTGGTGATTTAAAAAAAAAAAATAGACCTAGGCTGGAGGTATAGTTTAGTGGTGTGTGTTTAGCATGCATAAGGCCCTGGGTTTCATCCCCAGCACCAGCTTCTCCCCAAAAAGGAAAAATCAACTATTAGCTTACTGGCCATGCAAAGAATAATAGTGAAAAAAATTTTGTTGACCTTTTCTTTCTTTCAGTGTTTTTCTTTTCTTTCTATTTTATTTATTTATTTATTTACTTTTTGGTTCCAAAGATCGAACTCGGGACTTTGCACTTGCAAGGCAGGTGGCGGAACCACTGAGCTAAATACCTGGCCCTTATTTGGCTTTTTGAGACAGGGTCTCACTATGTAGTTCAGGCTGACTATGTAATCCAGGCTAGCCTTGAACTCATGGCAATCCTGCCTCAGCCTCCTGAGTGCTGGGGTTAAGGCATGCACCACCACATCTGGCTTAATTTTTTGTTTTTGTTTATTTTGGTACAGGGGATTACATCCAGGACCTTTACACTGAGCTACATCCCCAGTGCCCCATTTGTTTATAGTGTATGCGTGTGTGTGTGTGTGTGTGTGTGCATGTATTTGTGTTTCTGAAGATTGAACCCCATAGCCTTCACACTAAGCTACAACCCCAGCCCTTTCTATTTATTTTATTTTTATTTTGACACAGGGGCTTGCTGTCAGTAAGTTGCCAAAGTTAGTTTTGAACCTGCCATCCTCCTGCTTCAGCCTCCCAGAGAACTAGGATTACAGACTTATGCCACCATGCCTGGCTTTTTAAAATCATTTTGAAGAAAGGGAATGATTCTTAGGTTTTATTTTGTTTGGTTTGGATTTTTTTTTTTTTTTTTTTTTTTTTTTTTGGTTTGGTTTTTGAGACAGACTCTCACTATGTAGTTCAGGCTGGCTTTGAGCTCACTATGTAGCTTAGGCTGGCCTCAAGCTCTCAGCAAGCCTCCTGCCTCAGCCTCCTGAGTGCTGGGATTTCAGGTGTGTGCCACCAGTCTCCGTTTTTTTGTTGTTTTTTTTTAAGCTTTTATTAGCACACTTTAAAATATATTCTTTGGCTACTTTCAAGCTTGAGTGGCTAGTCATGCCAGACACCTCTTGGCTGCAGCACGTAAAATATTTACTATGTAACCAGTTGTGGAAAAAGTTACTTGACTCCAGATCTCCGTACTTTATTCGACATCGCTCACGAACATTTATTGTCCTTTCAGACTGTGATGGCACATAATGCTGCAATGAATAACTAGCCGTGCGTGGTTTTCCACATATCCCACATGTAAGCTAAATCCTAGAAATGGAATATGTGAGCCTAAAGACGCGTGTTTGTAATTTGGATAGAATTCGTAAATTTATCTCCAAAGAGATTATATCAATCCACGTAGACTCCCAGCAGCGATCGGTTTCTCAACACTTGTGCTGACGGATTATGCCACCAGATTTTTCAATCTTTGTCAAACTGGAAGGCTCTAATGGCTTGGCAATATAATTTTCATTCTTGTTTCTCTTTTGTTTGCTTATCAGTTTCCTAAGACTGCATGACAAACTTCCACAAATTTGGGGCCTTTAAACAACAGAAATTGGTCCTTTCCTCGTTCTGGAGGCCAGAAGCTGGAAATCAAAGCCCCCAAGGCTGCGTCCTCTTCCAGGCTCCAGGGAGGATCCTGCCCTGCCCACTTCCGCTTTCCTGCGGTCGCAGGCGCTTGTTCTCCGCTTCTGGGGCCCCTGCCATCTCTGCTCCGTCTTTCTCTGCTCCGTCTTTCTCTGCTCCGTCTTCCCCTGCCCCGTCTTCCCCTGCCCGCTCCCCTTGGGTCAGTGTCAAGAGTCCAGATGCGGGCCGGGGATTTAGTTCAGTGGTTCCGGCGCCTGCCTCGAAAGTGCAAGGACCCGAGTTTGATCCCTGGTACCAAAAAAAAAAAAAAAAAGAGTCCAGATGTCCTTCTGCTCACAAGGACCCCAAGCCTGCTGGGTTCCGGGCTCATCCTAGTTCGATATGATTCCTCTCCAGGTTCTCAGTGGATGCGGACCTCGGAAAGGTACTGCCCAGCGCCGTTTCGCGGATGAAGCTGCAGACTGTTCACTTTTTAAGTTGCAAATGGACTGTGTTCATTAGACCTTTCACTATTTAGATATCGGGGCTCATCTGAGAGCGAGAAGTCTTCATTCTCCCAGGTCTGCGTTTCCTTCCAGCCCCTCATGCAACTCACATAAAAATAGGGGCTCGGAGAGATTCGATCCTGCGCACCATACAGCGAGTGGCCTGATGTTACCCATGACTGAATTGCATCTGCAGAAAGCAAGTTTGGACATCTAAAAAGGGCCATTTGGGGCGGGGGATTTGGCTCAGTGGTTCCCCCGCAGCCTGCCTCCCAAGCATGAGGTCCAGAGTTCGATCCCCGGTACCAAAAAAAGAAAATAAAAAGGGCCACGTATCTGTTGAATTGAACTGAGATGTGAGAAATTTCGCTGTAAACTAATAACTATTGTTATTATTCTATAATATTTTGAGTGTTTACTAAGGGCTCTTTTCTAAGCCTTTAAGGTACATTATTCAGTTAAGCTTTTACAAATAAAGAAACTGAGGTTCAAGGATATCCAGCTAGGAAGTGGCAAAGGCAAGATTTGCATCCAGGGCCCCCCCAAAAAAATTTAAAAATTAAGTAGCTGGGCCTGGGGGGGGGTCCACGCCTATAATCTGAGTACTCTGGGAGGCCAAAGCAAGAGGATCGCTGAGAGTTGGAGGCCAGCCTGAATTACAGAGCAAGACCCTGTCTCAAAACAGCAAACCAAAAAAAAAAAATTAAAGAAAAAAGAAAAAAAGATTTGTACCCAGCAAACTGACTCCAGGCCACTCTGTTAACCTTTATAAATAAACTTAAAATAGAGAGAGGAAGTCTCCCATATTAGAACTTAACATTTGTTCCCCTTCCTCTGTTAGATTTTTAAATATTACACATCAAATACGACATACTACTCAGCTCCTGATTTCAAAGTTTCTTCCTATTAAGGACTGGTTATCACCCCGATCTTTTTTCTTCTTTCTTTTTCTCTGTGCTCTACTTCCTCAACACTCTTCCTTTAACCCAAGTGGCTGTCTCAGACCAGGAAGATTAAGAAGCCATGAATAACTCTTCTGTAAATTATTCTACAGGAAGTTCAGCCTGATCCAATCCAGCTTGTCAGTGGTGAAGGCTTTGTCAGGGGTTTCTCAGCAGAGCAGGACTGGGTCAGCT